CTCGGCTCATTTGACACCACTAAGTATGCTCTTATTTGATCCACATTTTTTTTCAAAATATACTTTTCTTTCTCTTCTTTTTAACCACAAATTTTTCAATAAAATAATATTACACGCAAACCCAAAACTTTTCTTTATTTTTTAACCACACATTATTTATCAATCTACTATTCCAAAATGTATTCTACACAAAAAATAGGGCTCAAACAAACTCTATAATTTTCTGATAACATATAAAAATTGCTTATTCAATAAAACCAAAACATTATAGTGTTCTTACCATTGATGCAAACGGAAATTTAAATGATAACAAATTCATTTGTGCACGAATTAACGAATGAGTACATTTTGAGAACAATCTTCAATGATTTTTAATAATTATTCCGAAAAAACCACCTTACCATAAAATCAAAACTCCCTATTTAAACAATAAATCGTATCTAAACTTTTATAATAATAAATAACAAAAACTCATGAAACCTATCTATTTTAATAAAATCCTATTCGAAATAAACTCCCCCTAGACATAAAATAATAAAAAATTTGAAATGTGTTAAAACTAAATAAATATGATATTAAATTAAACGGACGTCATCAACAATCTTGTTTGAACTTTTTATTAGACTGTATCAGATTTTGCACCCGTTTGGCCTCTCTTATATTAAAATTCATTTTTTCTCAAATTTATTTTCAACCTCACATTTCATTGATCCACATTTTTATCAACTTTTCACTACATATTTCATCATTTTTTTTATCAAAATCTATTAAAAATTCAATTTTTTAGCAAAAAAGAACAGGGGAAAATGAGCCACATAGGAGCAGAAATACATACAATATTTGTTCCAGTTCCAACAAAAATTTTAATTGTGTCTTTCTCAATCTTAAATTATGCTATGGCGTATGATATTGTTAACATAGCCGTTCAACGAAAAATAGGGATTTAATTATTTGACTTTACAAATTAAAAAAGGAACCGACGAGAGTAACCGGCTACAACTGATTTATTACATTACATGATGTGGAACAACAACAGGAAAAACAAAATATGCATTTAGGATTTACATCTTAAAATTTGACAGTCTTGCTAACGATTAAATTTACCGTGCCATCCTCTTTTACGCGACTTTGTGACCTAAATTATATATATTTGTTTCGCGCGAGTTATCGCTAACAATTAAAAGAAAAGTTCAGACGATTGTATAAGGAACAAATTTCTTGAGATAAAGTCCAAAAAATGGATATTTTATTGATGAAACTTACAATTGGAAAGAAAACAGAATGCCTCAAAGGGGCGCAAGCACACGAGGACTAAGAAGTGACACTTAAAATTAACTAAGAAATGAAATTACATATTCTCTATTGAGAGTATTTTGATTCGGGGTCCTTTATTCTACATCTTCCTTTCCTTTTTATACTCATTTGATAGTTTCTGAAAAACTGATTGCTGCTCTATAACTACCCACTTTTTTCATAATGGCTGACTTGTCATGGAACTGCCGTCTCTAACTGTTGATATTACTCTTGTCGTTTAACTGCCTGCAATCGGGATTCTTGGATCGTGAGATGTGATAAGGTTGCTAAATAACCGCTTCAATAACTGTCGTACTGGATAACCATGATACCTTATATTCGCTCAAATCCTGGGCAACTCAAAGATTTGGGCAAGAACGGAATCATTACTTTGGGCGACAGTAAGACACTCCATTCGCTCAGATCCTGGGCGTCTTGCAAGTTTGGGCGATGATGGTACTTTGTTCGTGGGCCTCCACTGCATTCCATAATGATCCTATTTTGGCATTCATCCTGGATTTCCTAATTATACTTCATTCCTTGAACTATTCAATTTGGGCTACACTTTTTATATGTTAACAATATTCAACCTAGGAAAATTAACTAGTGTGTAGCTTTTGGGAGAAAACTAATCCCAAACTAAACATTTCTGTCCAACCTCGGTGGGATCATTTTAGATTGCGGTTGTGATGAGTTTATGGGCTAGTTCAGTCTTAAGACGTTCTAAAATATGATTCGAGGTTAGGTCCGATTATGTATTAATAGGAGTCAAGCGAGACCACCTGTCCATTTTAATATCACTAACTCTTCTACTACTTCGAACCCCCATTCGTTTTCAATTTTTATCTCATTTAAATACATTTTTCAACCGCTGCAAATGTGGCAGCCCTGTTTTTTGACTTTCCAGCTCGCGATGGGACCCATGTGTTGGAAAAAAGGGTCACATAAGATTTAATAGTTATTTTCAATCAAAAATCAAACATCTATTGATCTAATCAACCTTTGCTGGAAGTAGCTTCTGCATTTATGTTGGAACATTAATTATCAACCAACCAATTGCTATGACAGTTGGTGTCAACTTTAGTTTTTTTGTCTAAATTGATAGAAGTCTCGAGAATTAAGTGTAAGCCACTTGGCTATTTGTTAGTCATAATCACAACTTCCCTTCGTTTTGGAAATCCTAGAACAATTATTGTACCTATAGACTGGAGCATAATTATATTTTTCATTTTTTTAATTGACAATTATATGATCGTTCTAATAATACGATAGGTAAATGTGACTCTCGTATTTTTTTTATTTTCTATTTTACATTGTTACTCTTAATAATACGGAACTAGAAATTTAGTCGGCAACATCCCCCGCTCAACCCAAGAAAAAAAATAAGGCCATCAAGTAAACGAACTACAACACGGTCTCAATTGAGAACCACATTTATATGTAGGGTGCGTACAATTGCTTATTAATCATTATACATTAATTAACAATTTACCATGCAAAACCTTAACATGTTGTCTAAGGATTTTAGCTTGTTTTTTTCCTATAATATTATCTAGTACTATACAAACGATCTTACCAAACGAGTTATGAGTCTCTACTCTCTATTCCTCGTCTAAGGGCTAAATATGCTGGGAGGTTCTCCTCCATTGAGTTCATTTCCAAGTGAAGGAATACAAGTATTCCAGTTGAGTAGTTCTTCAACCATTTGCATTGCCACCATATTCTCTTCATCCATTCCATCTTGAATATTTTCATCCGGGTCGGATGATGATACTGATCCAGAAGATGTAGACTGCGAGTTATCATTTGAAACTTGAGATGTCGTCTTCTTCTTCCCGAGCTCGACTCTCGTAATCCAATGTGAACCGGAATGTCTACCTGCTCGTTTTTGCCATACTCCGATATGGGAGTTATTGTTGTCGAGCCTTAAACAAATGAGTGAAGGAGATGGATCTTTGCAGGATTTTCTCAACTTTGCACTTAGTATGTCTGAAAGTTCTGGTGGAGATAATAGAGTGTCTTTACTTGAATTTGTGTCATGATCAGTAGTACTGTTATCGTTCTTCATTACTTGAAAGTTTGTTTTAGCTCTGTGTCCACTCATCAAGATTGCCGCTTCATCGTATGCTCGTGCCGCTGCCTCGGCTGTCTCGAATGTCCCTAGCCAGATTCTTCTCTTCCTAGAGAGCGAACATAGTTTAGAATGCAACATTATTGCGCTGTCATTCTGTTCATGTAATGATGCACAATAATGATCTGAATTGTTCATCTAACTATGCACACTAATGAAAAAGAGTCGTCTAATTCTAATTTAAAAAGTTGAGAAAGTAAAAGTCACTAGTCTATAAAGCACAATAGAACAGGCGAGCTAGCAATTATAGTGGTGTTTGGTGGGGATTAAAATTAGATTTTTAGTAGATTGTGATATAAGTTTTTGAAATTTGTGATTGAAAAGATGTGGAACCCATAAAAGATGTGGTTAATATTGATTATTTGACTTTGATTTAGATTAAAATCTGATTTTAATCCAAAACAAATAGGGTAATAAGTGAACTAATTATGCACCATGGGACAAAAATGATGAATTGTAGAAATCTT